GGGCTTTTGCAACTGAGATGCAGTGTGGTGTGGGCTGCAATCACCTGTGCTGAAAGTGGGCACTGTCCCTGGGACTTCAGCAGGAATAGAGCTGCCACAGAGGCTTGGTCTTGAGCTGGACATGGACTTTTATGACCCAGGGCTAAGTTGTGGGCTAGGGATTAACTGCTGGGTCTGATGCAACAGCCAGATCAACTACAACAGCTGAGACTAGGAGTCAAGCCTTGCCAGGACCAGGATGTCAAAGGGACAGAAGCCCCTCACCTGCCAGCCAGGGCTTTTCCTGCTGGGGCTAGCTCCACTCTCCTTGTAGCAAGACCTCAGCACAGTGGTGGCCGGCCCTCACCCACACATTCCTTCAGGGCTTGGGATCACCGAAGCTCCACCCATTATGGCTATGCATGCCCCATCATTGGGGTATCTGAATGCAAACTTGCCTTATCTGGTTCTGCCTGGCTTTGGCATCCCCTCTGAGACAGAGTGTCAGATCCAGGATGTTGGCAGTTCCAGGCCCCAATCCATTACCTGGGACACTTGAGTATTCTTCCTAGGGGACTGAGTTTGGACATAAACACCCTACTGCTACCACCTTATCAGGATCCTACCTGCTAGCATAGAGGCTGGCCCACACAACCCAGTACAACCACTTTCAACATAAGTACACAGTGCTTAGGACCCAGAAGAGCACTCACCACTGCTACTGCCATTGCCCACACCGCACTGGCTGTTCAAGGGCACAAGAGCCTACTCTCCTACCCAGTGCACTACTACTACACCAGCATCCAAGAAAGTTACCCAGAGGCCCAAGAATCAACCCCCTTGGAAATGCCAACACAGGTGCCAGTATCCGCCGCCCTGGGGAACAAGGATGGACACACTTAGCCCACCGCCACTACCTCTGCAACCTGAAGATGGGCCTATCTGGCATTTCAGTCCCCAGCACAACTTCACCAGAGCCCTCACCAATAACTGCACCCTAAAACATCAAAACCACATATTCCACTACTAGCTACTAGCCAGAGAAATTATACAGAGACTTACATGTACACAGAATCCCAGCCAAAGGGCCTTACCCAACCAACATCACAGTCAGACCTTTGGGAAAATGTCCACTCTAAACATAAGTAAATTTAAAAATAGGAAGAAATGACTGTTACAACAAATGCACAGAAATCTATGTAAAGACAAAGGAAATATGAAAAAGCAAGATAATATGACACTCTCAAAGGAACACAATAATTCTCCAGTAATATATCTTAATAAAAAAGAAATTTTCAAAATGGAGATACCTCAAATAGCTAAAAATAGAAATACTATTCAACCCAGCAATAGCATTGTTAGGCATCTACCCCAAAGAGCATAAGACATTATATTATAAAGACATCTGCACCCAAATGCTTATGGCAGCACAATTCACTATTGCAAGGACATGAAAACAACCCAAGTGCCTGTCAATTCATGAGTGGATAATTAAAATTTTGTATATGTTCACGATGGAATATTACTCAATTCTAAGAAACGACAGTGAGCTAGCACCGTTTATACTATCCTGGATTAAGCTTAAGCCCATCATCCAAAATGAGGTGACACAAGATCAGGAAAATGGGCTCCATATGTACTCACCATCAAATTGGCACTGACTGATTAAAACGATGGTGCTGAAATGGTGGTTGTGTTTACCAGGGATTGGGGGGTTGGGGGGAGGCCCACATCTTAGGGATGTGGTGAGCATTGTGGAGGGGAAGGGCATACCTCTAACCCTTCTTAAGGAGAGGCAAAGATATAAAATGTAACCAAAATGTCAAAAAGATAAAAACTTTTATAAGGTGTCAGGCAGGTGGGAGGGGAGAAGAGAGGATGGGTGTATACTTACACAATGAATGCAAAGCACACCATCTGGAGGATGGACATGCTTCAAGCTCTGACTTGGGAGAGAGGGGTGGCAAGGGCAATATATGTAACCTTAGCGATATTTGTACCCCCATAATATGATAAAATAAAATAAAAATTTTAAAAATCCCAGATAAATAATTCAAATATTGATTTTAAAGATGCTTGATGAGATGGACGAGAACTCTGAAAACGAATACAAAGAACTCAGGAAAAAAATACAGAGAATGAGTAAAAAATACACCAAAGGGACAGATATCTCAAGAAAAAAAAAGCAAACAGAATTCATTGAAAGAAATACAGAATATATTTGAAAGCTTCAATGATAGACTAGACCACACAGAATAAAGAATTTCAGAAATTAAAGGCAGGTCTTTTGAATTAATCTAGTCAGTATGACAGGGAAAAACCCCCATCTCGGGGGCGCCCATGGCTGAACTCACTGCTGATTGGATATTAAAGCTTGTTGCTGATTGGACGCTTTTTGAATCCCACCAAGTGTATAGAACTGGAGGAGAACAAGGAAGCGGCGCTCAGAATTTGGTGGCAAACCCCTCGGAGCCTGCCAGCAGAATAAAGGCTGATTTTCCAACCCTCTGTGTGCCACTTGGTTCTTTCCCTGGTCAGTCGCTGTTAACACTTGCTGTACACTTGCCAGAACAAGCAGACAAAAATACAAAAAAAAAAAAATTGATTTTATTAGAAATGCCTGCCATATAATACTTTATCATTATATAGTTATGAAAATTATTTTCATCTACTACATACATGCCCACTTTTAAAGGTCCACCATAATTTATTTATCACTTAAAATAGGTCTTTTATTTGTTTCAAACCTATTATAACCAATCATGACGTGAGCATTGACATACAGGTTAATTAATGTACACATTCAAGGATAGTCATGAAATAAATACCCAAGCGGTTGAATTGCTTAAAGATTTGGTATGTCCACTTACATTTTCATGCATATAGTTACATGGTCCTTCAACAAGAACGTAGGGTTCACATGCATAGGAACCATTCATTCATTCATTCATTCATTTAAGTAGCCATTTATTTATTGAATATTCATTGAGCCAATGTGTTCCAGACACTGTTTCAAGTAGTTGGTATTCATCAAGTGAACAAAACAAAGATCCTGCTCATATGGAACATGTATTTTAGTGAATGGAAACAAACAATTCAAAAATAAACACCTAAGAGGGATTAGCAAATTGGTTAGCAACCTCTACTTTTTAGCCAGATTGCCCAAGTTCAACTCCTAGCTCTAACACATAAAAAGCTGTGTGACCCAGAATCACAGGGTTCAACCATACTTCACTGAGCATCTGCTTAGGCGTTTGGGTATTAAAATGGGTATAGAATGATAGTATGGTAGGCTGAATAATGCCTTGACATGGGGAGATTGTTCTAGATTATCCAAGTGGGCTCAATGTAATCACAAGGGTCCTCATAAGAGGGAGATAAGAGGATAGAGTCAGTAGTAGGAGGTGTGACCCCAGGGCCAAGGGTCTGGAGTGAAGCAAGGAAGAGTTCCTGAGACCAGGAATGCAGGCAGCTTGTAGAAGATGAAATAAGCAGGAAATCAGATTCTCTCCCTAGAGCCTCCAGAAGGAACCAGCACAGCCAACTCCTTCATTCTATCTCACCTGTGGGTGTTTGCTCACACCTTTGCTAACACTACATTAAAACATTTTCATTTCCCAATCAAGAAGCTTTATACTGTATAATATATATTTTTTTATTTATTTATTTTTTCCCAAATTCTGTGGGTACAAATATTGTTAGGGTTACATATCTTGCCCCTGTCCCCCTCCCCACCCCGGTCTGCCAGAGCTTCTAGTGTGTCCAGTCTTCAAGTGGTGCGCCCTGCACTCACCATGAAAGTGCGTACCCTTCCCCCTCGCCCCCCTCCATCTGTTCACCTCCCATTAACAAATTTTTTTTTTAGACATTTTGGTTACAGTGTGTTTCTTTGCCTCTCCCTAAAAAGAGATAGAGGTAATCCTTTCCCCCCTACAATGCTCATTACATCCTTAAGATGTGGGTCTCCCCCCCCTCAGATCCCTGTTGAACACTACAATTATTTGAACACCATAGTTTTAGGCTGTCATATGTAATTTTAATTTGGATCTTTTCATCCATGTAATACTCATTTTCACTTTCTCTTCTGTAATCTATTTGGATTCTTTGCCTATATTTCTGTTATCTTAGAGGTTTGCTTTGTATATAGTTTAGTAGAAAAGCAGCAAGTTGTAATACAATATGTATAGTATGAGCTCAACATTGTAAATAACTATTTAACCCTATATCTACATATGCATAAATTATATTTATCATTTGTGTGAATATACACTTATGTCCACATATATGTATAGATATAAATATATATCTGTATCCATATGTTGTCTTTAAAATGTATTCCAAAGTTTAGGTAGCCTCTTCTAACATATGAACTGGGAGATGGGTAATCTGTGATATCAATTCTTGTATCACACACTTCAAGCAGAAGATAGGGGAAAAGAGATGAATATAATTTGACATGATAAAATATTAAGTTTACTATGCTTTGGAGATGACATGGGGTAATGATTTCAGGACCACACCATCAAATTACCATCATACTTATGTTAGGTGTCAAAGAATGTAGTAATTCCTCTCAAAGATGTTGTTTGTGTTTCAGGAGAGAAGAGTAACTCTCAGAACACATGGGTATCAATATGAAAGCATATGTGTCCAAACTAAGTTGGAAACTAGAAGTAATAAATATAATCCAATCTTTATTTGGGATAAAGTAATGCCACTTTATAGTAATGCTACAGCAACACCAAAGCAGGTACATAAAATCTAGTACATATTGTTCATTCCTCCTTATCACTGATCTTCCCAGTATTTCGACAGCTTGGAGCTGCTTATGGACACAGATTCTCATTCAAATCCAAACCTTGAGTAACTCTAGGTGACACTCAGCCAAGAGAACTTCCCTACACTCTTCCCATTTATCCCCTCCCGTGCTTATCATTTTGAGGACCAGCATGGCCCCTGGGACTCTGTTTAATTTTTTTTACTTGCTTTATGCAGAAAAGAAGGAAAGTCTGAGAACTGACTCAATAAATAATAATGATTTTTATTTAGAATGTTCAGAAAAAATAAATCTGAATTATCATACACTAATCATATTCTCTGTTTTACCATGATAACATTAATAACTTAATATTAGGTAAGGATTGGCATATGTGGCAATTAATACAAGCATTACAGAATACGAGGAATAGTAGACATGTTTGTGCAGTGAAACTCAGGAAACTCTCCTAACAGGAGGAATGATATCCACTGGATCTTGAGGGAATAGGGAGATGTGAGAGCACAGGTCAGCAAAGGCATCGCTGATCGTGGGAAGAGGTACATGATGTCCCAAAGAAGAGGGAGCTGCAGACGGCATCCCTTCAGCAGCCAGACTGCTTGACCTTCTTCAGAGAGGAACAAAGCAGAGCTGGTACAAGGGTGGCACAGAAGTAATTCCTTTTGCAACTAAGGTGATATCAAGGTCCTTTGGGTCAACCAGAGATTTCAGGTTAAAGTTCTGTAAAATGGAGGTTAGGAATAAAAATAGTTCCATGCGGGCCAGTCCCTCTCCCACACAAATCCGTTTTCCTAAAAATAACAAGCAGAGAGGGTAGTTACTCCTTGTGTGTAGCAGTGACTGAGACAAACACTGTGCTTGTGACTAGAATAAATGGAATACATAGTAACTCTTTGAAGAATGGTTGGCTGGATGGAAGTATGATTGGGTAGACAAAAGCACAAAAAGTGGACACACTTGTTGTCCACCTAACATCTGATCTTAAGGGCACCCTTCATTTAACAAATATTAATACTTATTAAGTATCAGCTCCATGCCAAGCACTCTATTAAGTATTCTCATATGAAAACTGATGTTTTGATGTTTTGAGTTTCCATTAACATTTTACAAGAAAGCACATCCACATTCCTGTGTTTCCTGTTTCTAGTCTGACATTTCCATGATATTTCCTTCCACTCTTCACAGCTTCTATTCTCAGCTCAAGCCATGAAGCCATGAAGTTCAAGCCATGAAGTTCGAGCCATGCTTCAACTAAAGCATGTGTATGTTCTGAATGTTTCTCCCCCAAATTCATATGTTGACATTTAATCCCAATGCAACAGTATTAATAGGTACGGCCTTTCTAAGATCAATAAACTGTTCAGGCTCTGTAATCATCGGACTAATGACCGTGTAAACAGATGCAAGGAAATTATTTCTCCCCCTCTCGCTCTTTCTGTCCTTCCATCATGTGAATACACAAAGAGGGCATGATCTAGAGGAATAGGCCCTAAGCACACACCAGTCTTTCTGGTGTGGATCTTGGACTTCCCTGCCTCCAGAACAGTGAGTAATAAATTTCCATTATTTATAAATTACCCAGTCTTGGGAATTTTGATAATGCATCACAAAGGGATGAAAACGGTATGAATCACCTGGACTCACACATCTCTGTTTATTTTTGACTGCACTAAAATATGAATTATGAAGGGAGGCCTCAGAGCACTTTCCTTGTTGTGTCCGTATCTACAATGCCAGATACAAAGCAGACAGACATCAGAAGGCAAGAATGTAGATGGGGGTTCCATGTCCAGAGACCAAGCACACACACTGCATGTGTAGATCCAATATCCAAGATATCTGATCATGACTAGATGAAGAGTGGAATGCTCTAGAATCATTGCAGAGTATCCAGCCACATTCCTAATGTTTTCCTGACTCCGTGATTGTTAGGCAGAGGCATCCTTGATTCAGAGCAAATGTCATTCCTGTAGTTGATTACCTCTTAAAAATGCCTGCAATATTTTTTCATTCTATTTTCTGCTCCTTTGAGGCAGCTCACATGTCATTTCTGCTATTAAAAGATTTTTTTTTTTTTTTTTTTTGAGACAGAGTCTCGCTTGTTCCGAGGCTAGAGTGAGTGCGTGCGTCAGCCTAGCCTCACAGCAACCTCAAACTCCTGGTCCAGCAACCTTCTGCCTCAGCCTCCCGAGTAGCTGGGACTACAGGCATGCACCACCATGGCCGGCTAATTTATCCCTTGTTCCCGACCGACTCCCCCATGCAGTGAACCCGTGACATTAAATTCAGAAAACTACCTACTCCCCAAAGGTAAAGCTTGATTTTTTTTTTAACACCTGTTCAGTTAATTTTGCAAATTCCAAAAACCCCACAGCATGGTTCAAATCCTCTACCCATCTTCCAAAGATGAGAGATGGAAAAACTCCATGTGTGGGGTAGACTTGATGGAAACTCTGTGTTTTAATTTCTAGTTTGGGGCTATAATGCCTTTAAGAACAGGTCCTTGGTTCCTAGAAGCTGTGTTCTTCTAAATTTGTTCTGCTTCTTCAAGAAATTAATTTTTTTGGCTTACTCTTTAGGTGTACACGTTTTTCCCATAGTACATTTTAATAGATATCAAGTTTGTCCATTGCCTTAAACTGTGCTGGGGAATTTTCTATCAGGGTGATATCCAATCTATTAGATCAACTTTGTAAAATTCTGGTATCTTGTCCAACATTGATCTTTCATATTAACATGAATATGTAATTACCTCCCCAAATTTTATTTGGGCTTTTTTTTATTTGCTCAGTAATTTTATTTTCAGGTGTAGTGGTTTTGCAAATCATTTGGTTAGGATTATTGCTAGATAAATGAATATTTTTGTTTTGTTATTAAATTATAAAATACCCTTTTCCCTTTCTTTTACCTACTATAATGGATATAAGTGATTTTATCAATTTTTTTGCTATGTATCTAACAACTTTTTCTAAATTGACTAATCATTGCTATAATTTGACTATTAGATTCATGGTGGAAATTCCAGGTACAATTAAATTTTCCTATCTGGAAATAATATTTTGTTTTTATTTTTTATTTTTCCCCAATTTCTTGTTTGCCCTTAATTTCTTCTTTAAATTGCATTATTGCACTGGCTAGGAATTTCCAAGGATGGTGTTGAACAGAATTCAGTGACAATGGGGGTTCCTTGTTTTCTATGTCTCCATATACATAGAAGGGTGGAGAAGTTAACAATCTTCAACTATGAGAATGTAATGCCCTTTTAAGTAGAAATTGTAAAGGTACAATATTCTTATCATACAATTTAGCGCAAAGTTTTGGCTCCTTTGCCCTAAACCAGATTTTTTTTCCCAATGGATTTTTTTTGCTCAAGAAAAGTGTTTATAATTTAATCAAATTGGATTTCCGGCTCTATTGGCATGAATTTGCAATATATTGGCCTCCAACCCTCCCTTTCCTAAATATTACACAGTCTACAACCTA